AGGGCTGGCGTCTTCCCACCCCCGGGTTTAGTTGCTGGGAGGCATCTAGCAGAGGTGTCTCCAGGAGATACGTTACACCACAGAAGAGCGAGAAGCTGATTTCCGTAGCCAAGCTGGCTCCAGTAGCTAATCGTGAAAAGGCTGTGGACCAGGCTGAATTTGTATAAAATCGAGGCAAGTGTGGACGTCCTTGCTAGCAAAGGTGCTGGAGGGGCAGAGGACTGCCTGTGCAGGTCTGCCCTGGGCAGGGCCAAGGAAGCTCTGCTCTGTTCCTGCTGCTGCAAGCTCAGCAGAGTCCTCTGAGCTGCACAGCTTGCACGTCCACCTGTGACCAAGGGCTGTGCTTCCCCTCCTCCCTGGAAACAACGTCGTTATCCCGAGTGTCAGCAGTGGTACCTTGAGACTTCTTGTTCCGCAGGGAAGGGAAGGGAAGGTGTGACAATGCTTTGGTCCTGGCACGTGGTGCTCCATTAGGATCGCGTGGCTGCCGGCGCTCCTCTTCAGCAGGCCGCATGTGGGAAGTTCTCTCTGTCAAGCACCCAGTGGCTCGCCAAGGGGTCAGAAGCAGAGGCGTGGAGCGAGGGGACTGCTCCCATTCCCAGGGGCTGTGGGTGGGTGAGTGGGGTGTTTGCTCTTGACATGCTGGGCTGAGGAAGAAGGAATCAATCATAGAATCATAGAATGGTAAGGGTTGGAAGGGACCTTACAGATCATCTGGTTCCAACCCCCCTGCCATTGGCAGGGACACCTTCCACCAGACCAGGTTGCTCAGAGCTCCATCCAGTCTGGCCTGGAACACTGCCAGGGAAGCCCTGAGTTCAGAAGAATGCGTGCAGAGCAAGGGGCAGTTGTCTTTTAGAGGCCACCAGCTTGGACCCTGGTTACCCCTCTTTGATTGGTCTCGTCTGCTTTCTCCAGGGGCGTTGGACTTCAGAGCAAGACAGTGCAGTGTTTGCTGTCTGGCGGGGGAAGACCAATGAGGTTGTCCTACAGTGTTAGCTGCCTGCCACAGGTTGTGGTCCGTGGGACCACTTGGATAGAAACCAGGAGTAAGCAGCAAGAGAGGATGTTGCTGCTGGGCCCACCTGAAGACACACGGTCCTGAAGATCTAGGAGTCAATGACAGAGGAGCTACCGTGATAACAGACAACAGGGACACAAGGTGGAGGAAGGGAAAATTCCCTCAACATAAAATCTAGAAGGACTGGAGGTTTGGGGAAGCAGGAGGTCTGAAAGACCAGAAACCAGCTTTCCTTTACAAGCAAGAAGTTCCCTGGGCTGGGGCCTCCTTCCCTGCGGGTTTACTCAAAACCAAAGCAGAGGAGTTTTCCCGTTAGACCGGGGAGGGGGTGATGATACTATCAACAGGCAGTAGACAGAAGAACCAAGCTGTGGTTGCTGTAACCCACCAAATTAAATACAAAAGGAGAGGAAACAACAGCACACAGACAGAAATGTGAACAGCACAATACGAGTTGTCACCAAATGCACCCCACTGACACTTCACCTCCCAAAAAGCAGCACGCACCGAAAGTCCAAGTCGTCTGGTCAGCAGCCAGCTTTTGAGCTCAGAGCTGAAAACATGTCCCAGCTCCTGGAAACAGCAAGGCTGGGAGTGCGAGGAGCTGATGGGTGGGAAAGCCGTGGTGCTCTAGTCCATCTTCCATACCTTCACCTTGGGCCAGCTCCTGCTCTTGACTTGCTCCTGGCTGACGCTGGAAGTGCTGATTTCTGGGGAAACGGGCTCGTAGGAACGGAGAGACAGGCTCGCAGCAAGCAGACCCATCCGGACACAGGTGTCTGTGTCATGTTTAGCGAGCGTGCCTGCCAGGAGCCCCGCTATTAAGCTGTGGAGAGAAGGAAAGGCAGTTCTGAACACCGGGGCAATGGCTTCCATTTTGGGCACGTGGCTGTTCGGTTGCCAGAGCATTCATTTGGACCCAAATCAACACGTACAGATGTAGAATATGTCACACAGGAGGGTTATAGTGAAAAGTTTTGCCTTTTTTAAATATATATTTCTAAATTTGGAGTAACAAATAATGCTATTTATTCACATTTTATTTGCTTTTCATCTGAGAAGTTGAGGTACTTTCCTATTTCACCACATTTTCTATTCTCCCTAGTTTTCCAGTTGGGGCAGGAGAAAAGAAAGGAGCCTATGAAGGGAAGAATCTGTTTTGCCCTTGCTCTCTCATTATTTTGTCACTTCTCTGCTCCTTGCTGGTGCCGCCTTAGGTTCCCTTCTGTCCCACAGGGGTGGGTGGGAAGAGGGGTGAAGTTTCCATAGGTATGCAAGACACCACTGGAAGAAGAAATCCGAAGCTGAAATGAGATTGTAGATTGGGATTTTTGTAAACTTTGGCTGTCGTTTTCCATCTGAGATTTCCCAGTGACAAGGACGCGAGTGCTTGGAGCAACAGCGGTCACCCACAGGTCCTCACACGGCTCCGAGGAGCCTGTCGGGAGACAGGGATGCCTTTTCCGGCTGCCCGGGGAAGGCTCCGTTGAGGCATGGATACGTGCAGGGTGGCGTTTGGGATCGACTGGGAACGACTGCTGTTTATTCGTAGCTAAATACAGTAACGATGCCCGGAAGCTAGGAGAGGACAAAGGAGAAGTGAAAGAGAAGGGAGAAGATAATGACATCTGAGAGGCAGAAAGAGGGACAGGAAAATGTGATGGTGAGGAGGATTAATGAGCAAATCTATGGGGAAGGGAAAAGATCGCTTTTTCTTTTGCGCTCTAATTACCTCAACGTCTTTTCACCCATAACAAAGGCACAGAAGATTATGGTTGCCACAACCCATTCAATCTCTCAGCAGCTCCAGGGGTTCAGAATAAATATTTGGGCGAGCATCCCCTAGCAATGCCCTGCGCAGGCAGGCGGCGTTCCGCTGTCACGGCAGCCGGGTGCG